ACGCGTTATGATGTGCTGATGTGCTGCTAAAAAGTACCAAAAGATTGCTTATCGAGAACAATGCGTATTATGCAAAAAACGAGCTTCTCTGTATATATAAAATGTGTTATCCCAGAAGGCATATAGGAAAGATATTTATTTACAAATAATCTCTCGATCTTCGCAGAGACATTTGCTTTCAACTTTTCCCCTCCAAAAATTCATGGAAACGTTAAAAAAGAAAAGAAGCACTCGATTTATTCCTCGTTTTTTTGCATTTCCCAATTGGAGGTATGACATAATTTTCAAGTTTTAGTCTTTGTGTTACTTTTACAACCGACAGGTGAATTTATCAAAATCAGTGTCTTTCCTCGCAACAACTGAGCCTCGGATTTCTTCTGAAGCTCGCAATGCAATAATTTATCTTTAAGCAACAAACTCGGCTTGAGAAACGAACCTGAAGTCGAGTGTAATAAAATAAAAAACAGAATGAAAAATTCCTTAAATGATTCATTCAAACGTTTCAAGAAACGGAGGAAATTCGATGCTTTCATTACAACAGGCTTGAAAATTAAAATATTATGTATAAAATATTATATTACATCGGGAAGAAGAGTAGGAATAAAAATTATAGTTTAGAGGTAAAATATATTCAAATCCTGATCGAAGGAATTTTAATTTATATTTGCTTCTGCAGTATTAGCAAAAATTATATTCTAATGGAAAATTTTTGATAATTTTCCACGAAAAATTGTTATGGAAAGATTTTGATAATTTTCCATTACAACTTATGAGTTACTCGTGCATTTTTCATGCTCATTTTCTTCACTTCACATCTTTATAATCATCTACTCTGGAATCAATTGAACAATTTCCCATATTTCACTACTGTGTATATAGGAAATTGTGCCTAACGTAAAGAACGCTTTGTGTTACATACGAACTCTGGAACAGATTAGGTTCTTTGCTGCATGTTCCATTGTACAGTATTTTATAACATCCATAAGTTTTCAAACGGTACCTTTACGTGTTTGCATATGTTTCAAAACATTTTAAAGACATTAATTTTTAAATGTTTCGATACTGAAACGCACAGAGAATATGAGTGCATCGCCAAGAAATACCAACTGCTGGCGTTGAATCCCTTCGCATTCATCTATAAAGGCAGAATTATGCCTGTATATTGTGAGACTTTTTCACACAATTNGTTTCGATACTGAAACGCACAGAGAATATGAGTGCATCGCCAAGAAATACCAACTGCTGGCGTTGAATCCCTTCGCATTCATCTATAAAGGCAGAATTATGCCTGTATATTGTGAGACTTTTTCACACAATTCCATTTTTCAAGCCTGGAAAGTTCTAGATAAGGAAAACACTTACCTCTGGAGTTACCCTCCTGATTATGCATGGAGACCAACGCAGCCGCACAGTTGGTGCAGTGATAAATTCTCTTTCCCAGCTTATCCTGGATATAATACTTTGAGGAAGCCCTGAGAAGAAGGCGAAATTCCCTATATTTGTACTTAGATTTCACGGCCTTCCGTTCGAACTCTCGGAACCACTCACCACTCGACCACACTGACGTAGTAGTTACTCCGTCTTCGGTCCGGAACCGACTACAAAAAACTTGAGGAAATAAAAAGAAATTGGAAATGTACCCTTTTACTTGCAAAAAAAAAGCAAAGTGCAATTTTTTTCAAACAATATAATCAATGAAATATGTGAAAATTTGACAAGGTGTAGGAAATTTAATGCTAAGAACAGCATGACATTTTCAATTTTGTTTGTGTTTTGAAAAAGTTTTAATAGCTTGTGACATGCATGGAGAACTCTCTCAGGACCTGGAAAGTTTTTACTCATCATTATTATCTGGAATGCTTCATTCCAGTCCCCTAATTACGTTATTTATCATAGAGAATCAAGAAAAGGGTTTTTCTCAGCTGGTTGGGTGCATTTCCATGTGAATTTTTTATTTTTGTTTTGTTTGTCTGGGCGCTTTCCTCTTTTCACTCCAATAAAGTTAAATGAAGTGCTTTTGAAACAAAGATCCCTACACAGGTTAAGATTTGCTCCTTTTATATTGAACATCTTCAAGTGAAACTTCAAGAGACCAGCAAAAATTTGAGTTGATAGGTTCAGGAAATTGAAGGCAAGGGTTCATTTGTTCAATTATAGTCTTTAATTTCCTTTAAAAACTCATTGGGTTACATTTGTATTGCTTTTCTCTTTCCTGTGTCAATAGAACAGTAGCCAAAATGGCTCCTGAAAATTTTTCAATACGTCCAAACTTCCCCTTTCGGAGACTCAATCACTCCAAAAGTTCCGTAACAAAGATTGTCTTAAGTATGTCCCTGAACTTGTTTCAAATTCAAAATCCCTCCATATAAGTTGAAAATCCCAGCTTCAAGATACCTGGGTGTCAGGAAACATTTGTTGAGTTGAAAAGTGTTGAGCTCTTCCATCAAATTTTCAACTGCTTAGCAACTTGAATGAATGAATGAACAGAACACTTTATTTGCTGCTTTTTAGCGTTCACAAGGTGTTCACTCAAAATTTCCACAACCAAACCCCCCTTCCCACCCAACCCAAATCCACTCAATGACATTTTAATCACTTCAGAGCCGGAAAGCACAAATTGCTAACAAAAATAAAATAAAATACAACATGAAATAAAACTGGACATCTGATATGTATGTATACACCCATTCATTCCCTGACATTGGTAATAAAATATATGTAAAAATTAATTTCAAGCACAAGGTCTTCAGCTTGTTTCTGTATGAGGTTTAGTTGAATGAAGAAATTACAGAGAATCTTTGATGAGAAATCATATAAAGCCAACATTTTATCTTGATCCTTTAAGATTTCAGAAAGGGTCTCTTCAATTCCTGTACTTGTAAATCTATCTTAAGCTTGTTTCTATCAGTATGAAATGCTGGACATAAGAAGAGAAGGTGCTCTGGTGATGCGCAAACTAATGCTGTAGGTGTTACACAATACTGTAGTATAAAGAAAAAGACCCTATATGGGGCTAAAAAAAAAAAAGGTTAAACAAAGAAAATTGGTGTAACCAAAAGATTGTTGTATCAAAAGATTTTTCAACACTTTTTCATCATTTCTGACTTATGTCAGTGAAACTTGCCACTTTCTAACTTGCCCCACACCTGACCTGCCGCAAGCAGTTGAACTTGCCACTGTCACAACTTGCCGCAGTGTTAAATTGCTGCTGTTACAACCTGCTGCAGTGTTAACTTGCCGCTGTGATAAGTCACTGAAGGTGGAAGTTGCTGCTGCAAAAACTCACCACTGCAATGACTTGCTGCTATCACAATTTGCCAAATGAATTGCAGCCACTTGCAATTTCATTGTCTAAAATTTCAGGAAAAAAAGGAATTCCCACAATTGTTCCACTTCTTAACTAGGCATTCTGCAGTGTGAAATTTTTCAGAATATATAGAAGGGGTTTCAATGAATTCCTTCATCCTGAACTAGTACTATTGGTGGCTAAATGATGTGCATTTTATTTTTGATGGTAAAGTTTTTTCCATATTATTGTATTGCACATTTTTTCAATTGCAAACATGTTCTGCTGTGAATTAAGTTTTAAAAAGTTCTAGAACTGTCTGCATTAATCTTCAAGTACAGCATGTTGAAAAAGTGGCAACTTATAACTATTGCAAGTTGTGACTGCAGTGAGAAATGATTGCGGCAACTTGTTGCAGTGGCAACTTGTGACTGCGGTCACTTTGGGCTGTGGTCAGTTGCAGCAGCAACAAGTTAGGGTGCAGCAAGTTGAAGTGTGGCAAGTTCAACTGCAGCAAATTTCACCCACACCTTTCTGACTCTATTTGATGACATTGAAAAAAAAACATTTTTATGCCATTTCCTTGATATTGCTGAACCTGGATTACTTGCTTCAAATTTATAATTATGTGCCAATTTCATCAGACAATAAGATTTTTGAAAATGCAAATACTTTCTTCCAGATGAGTAATTTAGTTGAGAATAATCATAAATGTAGTTGCAAAATAAGAAATGTTCTTGCAAACATTTGGTACAATTGAATTACCTGATGGAGCTGTTATAGGGACCCATTGCGCATGCCCTCCTTGATCAAAAAAGATCAACCTAAATAAATTAATTTGGTGGAAAAGCACCCAAGCAGAAAAACTGCAGAAAACTAACAACATTTTTCCCCCTCTCCAGAAAAAAAAATCTAGTGCCAAGATGTCTTCAACTTGACTTTTTTGAGCCAATCAGAAGCCTTGGTGCCAACCCGTCTTTGAATACTTTGATACAGTGTCCTGATCAAGGAAAAAAATTGGGGATATTATAAAAAGCGTACTTGATACAGAAATTACCACCAGTTTTGTTTTTAGCTGTTTCTCAAAAAAGTGCATTTGAAGCACAGGCTCTCTGAGAGGTTTATTTTGTTTGACTTGTGTGAATTAAACCTTGAAAAATCAGAAACTTGAACATTTTGAGAGAAGAACACCCTGTTTCTTTATGTTCCCAAGATTGTTTTCAAGAACCTCATCGTTACTTTTACCGAATGTTAACTCGACTTTTTTTAAATAAGAAATCCCTTTTTTACATTTTTTTGTGTGCCAAAGAATATGTTTTCCCTGAAGAATAAATTTTTTTCCAGCTCAATTGTAAGCCATTTTCATTCCTACTCTGAGAACTTTTGTTAGAACCCTCGGATATCTCCACTTTAAATTTGGGAATCCTACCAAGAATTCCCAGCCCCTGTCCCAGGCTGATTCTGTGTTTCTATTTTATAAAATTTCCAGTCTAAAAAGTGCTAAAAATCATTAATCTCAATATTAAATTTTTTTCTCAGGTCCCTGGGAGTTTGTTGTAGCAAGATTATACTGTATATATATATATATCCTGTGTCTGTATATGCACTTCTTTTTATTCAGGAGCAAACAAATTTGCGAAATTTCCTGTGTGACCCAATCGTGAATTTTAGTCAACGAGAAAGACAGATTTAAAAAAATCAAAACAATTGAAAAATGGCGAGACTGTTGGACAATTACATTTACGGGTTTTCGCACTTCCGCATGTTGCTTAACCGCCGTGGGCCCTTTGTCCAGGTAAAGGCTAGGGACCGACGAGAGCAGAGGTTCCTAGGGCACCACTCCCTAGAACCGTTCCACTCCTAGGACGTCTAGCGGGCTGCGAGTGCCGTCGACGTCAGCTACTTCCCACCCAATACCCTGCTCACCGTCGTGGACCCGAACCCGGACTTTGAGCAGGGCATCAAAGACGAAATCGAGAGGAACCCTGGGATCGAGTTGCAGTGTTACGTCATTGGTGAGGCCCGAAAAAAACAACAACAGCATATTTACAGTATATGGGATCTCGTTATATGCTGTACAAGAAAAAGAATCGTCGTTTTTATGACGAAGTAATTGACGCTTATAAAACGAATCTGTCTTCTTCTTGTTCCCTCACCATAAATTAATATAGCCTTTCTGTTAGTTCAATTTCGTTCCAATGGATTTTTAATTCATAAAAAAGCTTTTTCAAGGCTTCTGTTGGGGACTCGAGTAAAATATTAATAAATAAATTAATGAATCAATTTTGGACACGGTGGGAAAGAAATTAATAGAGTGGAAAAACCACCCAAGAGGAAAAAACTGCCAGAGACATCCTCTAACGAACTTTTTACCCCCTCCAAAAGAATCAAAATCTGGCGCCAAGACGTCTTCGACTCGACTTTGTCGAGCCAATCAGACGCCTTGGCACCAACCCCGTCCTTGATCCACATCCTGGATCAAGGAGAAATCAAGAAGAAATCAAGAAATTAATAAAAGCTCACTCTCAACTCATCACCAGTACCAGTTGTCAAAAGTCGTTGCTCCGAGCATCTTCCCGCAAAAAGAGTTTTGCTGAGAGGAAAATTCTGTACTTATCAAATTTTGTCTTGTGTATTTGGGACTTGTAAAAGTTTTTGAAATATATCTTAAACCTTTTCTTTTTTGGAATCTGACCGGAGATTCCCTGCCTTGTCCCAGGCAGATTCCTCATTTTTATTCCTTACCAACCTCATCAATTTTCTCTCCAAATCTTTCTCCTTTATTTGTGTTGAGTTCTTTTTAACTTAAATCCTCAACAGCTTCACTGTAACGAGATTTTATTGTACATTGATATTCTGTTTCAACAAACTCACAACTTGTTTATTGGCGTGACTTGTTGTGATAAAAGGTAATCATTCCCCTGATTAGGGCATCATTACGACGTAATTTTCAATTTTATTTTTTCTCAATTCATAATAAGGCTGCGATTTTTTCAATCACCACAAAAGCCAGAATTGCATGCGTAAGCGAAAAGCCGTTTTGCGATGCAATTTTCTGCTAATTTTGACATGCGCCTCGACTTACACACGATTCGAATTAGGGACAATTAAAAGTCAAAATATGTTCCTCAATATGCTGAAAATGTCTCAATTAAGAAACAGACACTTTGCCAACATTCCGAGAAAATGGGAAATGTTTCTAATTTTGCTAATTTTCGATATACTGTATCTCGAAGAAAGTGAGCTATTTATATTTAGAAAAAATGAAACACATTTTAGTATGAATTCACACCAGTCCATAATCCAAGACAGGTTAATTTTGTGCTAATTTTTTACAAAATTTGTATCCATAATCTGTGCACATTTTAGCAAGACTTGTGCTTTTAATTTTTTTGGGTTCCTTTTCATAGCAAAAGGTCAGGTTCTCGGTTGTTTTTGTCTGCAAGTTCATCTTCTGTATCTTGTGAAGTTAAAATTAAATTTTTAGTCATTGGGGGGATTTTTCCCAATTAAAAGAAAAACGCAATGAAGACAAAAACACATACTGAAGGGGTCACGTTGAATATACAGTATCTTCCTACTTTTGAAATAATTTTTATTTAGTTTTTTTCAGAAGAGTTAAAGAATACAGTATAAAGATTCAAAAAAATATATGACTCAATGGATTCACACAATACATTCAAATCACAAGATCAGATCACATTGATGCAAATCACAGATTTTTAGTTAGACTTTTTGAAATTTTCCGCTCACAGGATCTAACCAGAAAATTTTAGAATATTTCATCTGATATCCTGGCCTCTGATTGGCCAAAATAATAAAAATCAAGGAAATTGAGGCAGGAATTGTCAACTGATGCCCAAGGAAACGTTCATGGGTTTCCTCTTGTCCTTTCTCCCCAACACAAATTTAATTTGAACACTGATCAATGAGTTCCAAATTGTCATCATCATTCGAAATTCAAAGCAGTCAAGCAGCTCTGTTAAAACCGGTTTTTTGACACAGGCGGAAGTAATTCTCCTGTCAAATTAATCTCGCGTTGAATCTCATTAAAATGTTGCATAAATAAGATAAACCCCCTGGTTGAGAGGGTGATGAACAGGATCCAGATTATCTAAGATTTGAGTACTTCATGCTCATCAAGTGCTGTGTTATTCAACCAGGTTATGATGATGTCCGCATTCAAGTCACTTTTTTTTCACTTTCAAAGAATTCAGTTTGGAAATCAGTTTTTTGATTGACCCCTATTATTTGCTGGGAAGTCGAAAATTCCCAAGGTCCTTTGAAAGGAACCAAAAAATAAGTTTTTAAATTTATCCTTGCTTGATATTTATAAATGTTGTTGTCCATAGACCAAGGGAATAAAATATATACTTCAATATAAATACTTTCAAGTATATTCAGACACAGCTCAAACAATATGATACAATCACACAAACTAAAGAAACTATGGAGATTTGAAGAGAGTCTTGCTAAAGTGTTTTGCAAGTCTCTCTGAGAAATAACTGCAATGAACTCAAGATTAATTCTGGGGAATTGGTTGGAAGGAAGGTATGTTTATGTCTTCCTTTGAACACAAATGTAGAGACAAAATATTTCTCTTGAGTTAGGAAATGTGGGTTCCATGAACACTTCTGATGAATATATATACATCCGGGTATACCGTATTTACTTGAGTACCACGTGCACCTTTTTTCTAGAAATTGAGGCAGAAAAATAAGGTGTGTGTGGTACTCAGAGATCAATTTTAGAGGAAAATTCCAAAAACCAGTGCCTCTCACATCCAAGTGAAAAAATTGGAGAGGAAAAGTGTGGCTCCAAGTCTCTTCCTGCATGGGGAATAATGGCTCAATTTGTTTCATCCATTGGAGATGCAACAGGAAGTATAGGAAGGGGGTAATATTCATCTAATTGAGGAAGCTGTCCTATATTGCAAATGCATTTTAATTGCTTCTGTAGATGGAAAAATACAGAAAGACAAAATATTGATGATGAAAAATGAATTTAAAAATTAAACATTCTCAAACTACAAAAAACTGAGGTGCGCATCTTACGTGGGGATAGGTTTTTGAACTAATTTCCGGTGGAAAAATGGGGGTGCTTGCCATACTTGATGGCACGTGGTACTTGAGTAAATTCAATATAGACATAAAGTAATCTAAATTAGCAATTTAGAAAGAAGAACCAGTGAGGGTTGTATGTCACTGTTGTAAAATGGCAAATTGTAAACAAAATGAGCATAAATAGGCATCACGCTTTAATGCGGGTTGACACGGGTAGAGGGGGAACAAAAACAAGGAAACAGCTGCAAGGAACATAAAACCTTGTAGTTAACCCTTGGACAGCAAAGGGTTCTTTCCCATCGCCAGCCAAAATTGGATTATTTTTGTATGCTAAGGCATTTCAATTTTTCTGAAGGTCAGAAAAGACCTTCCAGGTGGGCTGAGGCAAAGTCGGGATTAATCCCAGAAAAGCCCATTGCTTAGCATTGCATTTTTTTCATTTTCCCACAAAATGTTTCTGTGCAAAAAGAAAAAAACATCGGATTTTCCCCAACTTTGTCCTAATCCCTGTTGTCCTTTTTTTATTTTCTGCCATGAGGTGCAACGAAATTTCGCGAAAATAGTCTGACTTTGCCGCCCAAGGGTTAAAGACTTCTTCCCATATAAGGAGAATAAAGATAAATAAATTTAAATCATTTCTGGGTTACAATGTATTTATTCATCATTAATTTATTTTTTCTTCAAACAGTGCCTGGAGAAGACATGCGTCCGATTGCTGACGACTCCATGGACGCAGTGGTGACGACGATGGCGCTGAGTCGCGCAGAAAACACCCACAACATGCTGGCTGAAATCCACCGGGTGCTGGCCCCCGGGGGCAAGTACTACTTTTGGGAACCCGTGGAATTCGAGCACGACGAGCCTCTGTCGCCGGTGTCGCCGCACTTCAAGGCGCCCACGTCGCCGAAACCCATGCTGTCGCCCAAGTCCCCGGGTGCCGACACCACCGGCACCAGTCCCAAGAACCCCTTCATTTTCCAGCGACAGACTTCCACTGTGAGTTATTAATGCTACTTTTTTTTTGCTGCCTTCTGAAGAGGAAACCCTTGAAATTCTTGACAATAATTCTACTGCCAATAATTTCGAGTGCGACTCAGCGATTGACAAAGTGTCTTGAACTGAGGGTCTTTCAACAGATTCTCTATTTTAATATTATTTAATCTTTTCCATGGTAATTTTGTGTATATTTCAAGACAAAGTTCTCTGAAGAGAAGCAGCTTTTCACAGCATGTTCCTTGATTTTCAAGAATTGTTGTTTATGGTCAAACTTTCAATTTACCCATTGGGTGCATGCATTCAATGATACCTTTTGAGGCAGTAAATTGGGGAGCATTTAAATTTACTGAAGATTTATCTGATGAATCAATAATTCAAGTACTGGATCAACCAGAGCATTGTACTTCCAAGTTGTTTTGACTCTTCATTGCCATGTGAAAACAAGTCACAGGCTGCTGAGAGGCATGCTGGATGAATTTCAAACAATTTTTCAGTATCCTAGCCTAAACAACCCCTTGTTGATTCAATAAGAAGCTCATAAAAATTAAGAAATGTAAGAAATCACTATGGCCACTCAACAAAGACCAAATGGAATTTAAAAACACAAGCATCATATGCTTCACAGCACGAGCAAATTACTATGAACTTGAGAAAAAAAACTCATAGAACAACAAAATTTAGCAAACTCTGAATAATTCCTCAAGATACAGACACTTCTCCAATATCTCAGGAAAATGTAAAGCATTCAAACTTTTGGGATCTCTTGAGCAAGTTAAGCTTTTCTGTGGAGAAACATTTTTGAAAGATCTTATAAATTCAATCTGATTCAGAATCCATTATATACAGGCTAATCTTTTGTTTTTCTTTATATATATATATTTTTTTTTATAAACTATGTATACAAGAATATGTGTGATAGAAAAGATTGTTCTTTTTCCTGACCTGAGCATTGGTTCTCATTTTATGTCTTTTTTCCATTTCAGTAGTCTTGGGCCCACAAATAAAAAAAACCTGTATCCCAACTATATGCCAGATGAGGGTTACAAATGTGGCTAATTCTTCTATTATCCCATTTTCTTATAAAAATTTTTCTCAATATCACTGAAAATGATGACCTATTATTAAAACTTGAAACTTAAAGATTTCTTACGTATTACAAGAATTGGTGACATAATTTTTCAAACTAAAAATTAATCTCTTCTCAATCCCACAGGAAGTGCTGACTTTATTTTTTCAAATTGAATTTTTTCCTCAATCTCACAGGAGTTAGTGAACTATTCAAACTTAAATTGCAATATCACAGGAATTGGTGACCTATTTTTCAAATGAAAATAGTTTCTCAATCCCACTGAAAATGGTGCTCTATTTTTGTTCAGATTAAATTCTTTTGCTAATTTTTTTTTCAATCTCACAGGAAGTGGTGGCCTTATTTTTTTAATTTACCAGAAATTGGTGACCTATTTTTTCAAATTACAGTACAGTATGTGTTTTCTCAATCTTGCTGAAATGGTGCTTTATTATTTTCAAATTAACCCTTGAATGGCGGACGGTTCTTTCCCATAGTGGGACAGAGTTGGATTATTTTCATATCCTCCCGCATTTTCCTAATTTTGAAGGTCAGGAAAACCCTTCCAGGTGGGCTGAGGGGGATAAATCCAAAAAAAGCCAGTAGACTAACTAAGCATTTTTTCAATTTTCTGGCAAAAATATTCCGTGCCCAGGGAAAAAAACATCTGGATTTTTCCTGACTTTGCCCTTAACCCCCCATTGACATTTTTTCTTCACCTCTCTGAGGTGCAACAAAACTTCGCAAAAAAGTCCAACTTTGCTGCCCAAGGGTTAAATATTTTTGCTAATTTTTTTCAATCTCACAACGTTAGGTAGGTGTTGCACCCTGGCCCCAGTGCTGGGGGAGCAGAAGCACCCAATGCCAAAACTGGCGCGTCAAAAACTTTACTTAACTCTTCATAATAACCATATAATGCCTGAAGAAAGTGCCCAAAATTGGGATATTTCCCCCCCCCCCCAGATCAGTCAAGTTTTTTAAATCATTAGTTCCTACCCGTACAAAAACGTGAGTAAACTTAAAGGTTGGATCCAGATTCAAGTCTCAATAGAGCCTTATTTTTTTCAAATTGAATTTTTTCCTCAATATCACAGGATTGAGTTGGTGACCTGAATATTTCAACCAGAATATTTTTTTTCAACATCACAGGAATAGCATGGTGGCCTTTTTTTAAAAAATTAAAATATACAATGGCCCCCCACCTAACAGACCTCCCGTGTAAGGGATTTTTGCCGAACAGACCAGCTCTGCAAGCAGTTTTTCCTCCCGCCCAACAGACAAAATCTGCCAAACAGACTTCTTTTGGTTTAAAATTAGTGTTGAAAATTGAAATTTGTAATTTTTTATGTAATTGAATTTGTGTAAAGGACTTTTCGTCTAACAGACTTGTCCCTTGCACAAATCAAGTCTGTTAGACAGGGGTTGACTGTATTATCATTTTCATTAAAAATGGTGCTCTATAAATAATTTTCAAAAATTAATTTTTTGTGCTAATTTTTTCTCCATTTCACAGGAAGTGGTGACCCACGCCCGGACGGAGGTGCGGGAACCGCAAGACGACCACGGCACCCTGTCCAACCTCAAGGTGCTGGTGAACGTGGCCCTTCGGCGCCCGCGTCGCAACTCCTCCACGGTGGGCGAGCACCGGTCGGACGAGAGCATCGTGGAGCAAAAGATCCGCTCCATGGGGTTCAGCCACGTGTCCTGCGAAAACTTTCTGCTCGACGACCCCAGCGACGAGGACCTGAACAAAAAGACGTGGATGGAGCGCCGGATGTCGCTGAGCGTGCCGAAACATTGGCACTTGAAGGGCATTGCCGAAAAGGGCGCAGCGGGTTCTGCTGCTGCTCCAGCAGCAGTGCGTCATGATGAGCAACCCGTGTCTGCTGATGTTGCTGCTGCTGAACCCGAAGCCTAAAAAAAAAAAAAAAAAAGAAACTGATGAGGAATTTATTTTAATTTTCTTCCTTTCTCATTGTCTCGAGTCTTCTTTCAGCACCAAGATTTTCATTTTTCTTTTATGGAACGAGAAAAAAAGAACGTCGCAAAATATTTATTTTTCCTGTCCGAAAAAAAAAAGAAAAATTAAATGCGATTTTTTGGGTGTGGCTTATTGTCGTGCTGAGGTTTTCGAAAATTCCTGCACATTTTTTTGAATCTCAGAATTCCTTCCAGTTTTCTGGCCTCACATATTTTCTACATTTTTGGGCGACAATAATGGGGGGAACAAATCATTGGAAGATTGATGGGAACAATTCCAGAATTCAATTGCGATTGAAAGCAGAGATTCAAACGTTTTATATTCGGTGCTTCGCGAAAAATGTTCTTCTCAATTTTCTGTCAACTAAAAATCATTTTTTTTTCGTGTCGAGGCACTTGGATATATTTTGTCATAGGAATTTAATTCTGATGTGTATATCCAAATATTTCTTTAAATTTCGAAGCGGATTTATTAAGTTTTTTTCTGGTGAAAAAGGGTTTCAGATATACTTTCTTGCAACGCTGAATTTCCAACTTCCAAAATGGAGTGCAGTACAGTATATTTAAGAAAAGTGAGACCCTTGAAATTATTTTGCGAAAAAAATTATTGCATTATGCTGAAAATTTAAAATTTTGGGGAAATCGGAATTTAATCATTCTCAAGAAAAAAGAAACCAAAAATTTTCAGAAATCAAATCATAAATAAAAACAGTCATGGCTGAGAAATTTCGTGAGAGCTTTTGTTTCTGAGCAATAAAATATGAAATCAAACAGGGATTATTTGAACTCATGTACTTTTTTAAAACAAGTTTTACTTTGATTTGGGATATACTTATGATTTTTTAAATAAAAAAAAATGAATTTGAATCAATTTCAACTTTTGGAGCACAAGTAGATAGCATTTTGTGTTGGGCAATCATGCCATCTTTGATGTACTTTCTTAGTATTTCCTTGAGTTTCATCCTCTAACTTAAAAACAAATGGTAAAACCTAATGAAGGGTAATTATTTTGTGTTGAGTTAGTCAAGAGAAGAATATATATATTCCAGTTTAATCTAATAGTTGAAGCAAGAGTTAACTAAGTAGTTACAATATT